CATACACCGTTTGGACGGGGTTAAACGTCCAACGTGTGCAATACACCTTGATGCTCAATTGAGCCGATGATCACTGCCACAATGAGGAAGGTGTAGGTGGATGTGGTTTGTATGCCTCTTCTTGTTTGGCTTGGAATCAGAGTTTCTAGCGGGCTCTCCCAATTAAACTGCCAGTGGTTCACCAACCCGGTTATAGCCCCGGATAGCGGCCTTTTGTCCTCTCACTTTGGTGGGAAAACACTTCCGCCACGGTAAGGCAGTGAGTAGGCCTTCCTCATTAGAACTGTTAATTTGAGACACTTGGTCATATGGGAGCATTTCACGAGGTGTAAGGGAATGGTGACCAGTCACAACTCGAGATACCCACCTCCGACCATACTGAGGCTTTCGGAGGATTGTGTGTTCAATTTATTGTCTCAATTTCGCAATGAAATTCCATGTGCTAAACATGTGGCTTTTTTCCCCTTTGTAATCCACTGACTACACACACATCTATTTTCTTTTTAATCCATAGTCTTCATCATCTGATGCAGTTGAGATTGATTCACAATATGATGTATGAAAATCTTCAAATGCTGCTAATAACCGAATCACTTGGATTCAGTTGCCCTTGACTCCCAATGATTGTTATTCTTTTAGATTGTGTTTTGTCCATGAGGCACGTTAGCCCAGTTCATCAGGTCATCAGTAGCCACTAGTGTGTATCGATGTGTTTGTTCCCCTCCGTTGTTCATTGTAATTGTAAACTAGTATTTGTGTTGTAAGCTCGCGTTATCGTGTGTTCAGATTCACCGAATCGCATAACGGGTGAATGGTGTACAAATACCGGTCAAACGGAAAGGCGTATAGTTGCCAAGTTGCTGTTTAATGGAGAAGAAGTAACATTCCAACTAGATTCTGGTGTGACCCTCAACATAATACCCAGAAAATGCGTATCCGATATCACATTGGACCCTAACCAGACGAGATTAGTTATGTGCAACTGTGCAAATATGGAGCCGAAAGGAAAAACCACCATTACACTGAATAATCCTAGAAACGTGAGTTTTGTCTTGGTGGAGCCGGGTTCTGTTCCAATCCTTGGATCCAAGTTCATCGAGCAACTTGGTTTGGTATCGTTTAACTATGATTCATTTGTTCATCACGTTTGTAAAGATACTGAATACTACCTGAAAAAGGAGGGGAAAGTTACCAGGAGCTATGACACTTCATATAAACGACGCAGCCGAGCCCGTTGTCTTACTAAATCGGCAGGTCCCATTGACAGTTCGAGAGAAAGTGAATGACCTTATCGCAAATGGTGTTTTGCAGAAAGTCGATGAACCAACGGACTGATTAAGGTAGGTTGTGGTGGTGAATAAAAATTCTGAGGAGCTGAGAATTTGTAACGATACGAAGCCGTTAAACAAGACGCTAAGACGGGAGCACTTCACCCTATCAAGTTTTTGACGATATACTATCGGAATTAGCTAATGCACAATGCTTCACGAAAGGGGGAATTAGCCTCCGCGGTTTGGCATTTAGACCTGGACAATAGACCAAGCTATCTGACCACATTTGGCATGCCACTCGGGCGATGTCGTTAGAAATTCTCCAGTGAAATTTTTCAGGAACGAATCCTCTAAGCGGTAGATGATTTACCCGATGTGTTGTGCGTGGCGAATGACATTCTAACCTTTGGTAAGAATACAGATGAACGCAACAGACGGTTTGAAGGCATTTTACAGCGTTGTATGCGAGACGGAAGCTACCTGAAACAAAACAAGGTAATCCTTTGTCAATCGGAAGTCAGCTTTCACGGTCACGTGCTTACAAGTGAAGGGATCAGACCGGACCCGGAAACGGTAAAAGCGATTGTAGAGAGGTTTCCCCCAACCAATGCGAAAGGTGTATCACGATTCAATGGAATCATAAACTAACTCATTAGATTCCGACCAGAACTAGCGAAATTGATGCAGCCGATTAGATGTTTGACGCATAAAGGAGACCCGTGACTTCAGATACAAGAATAACAGGCGGCTTTTGATCCTGTCAAGGAACTTATTGGGGAAGCTGGCTTATTTCTATCCCAATGCACCTCTATGCATACAACGTGACAGCAGTCAATTGGGCTCAGGTGCCGTACTCTTCCATTGGATTCCCAGAGTAGGACACTGTCGGCCCGTGAACAAAGGTTCGGCCAGATTGGGAAGGAAATGTCATCAATTGTGTATGCGCTGGAGAAGTTCAGTTACTACACATTTGGTCGACTCACGCATGTATACTCACAACACAAACCATTGATCATGACTGTGAATAAGCCACTCCATAGAGCGCCAAGGAGATTACAAACGATGCTAATACGTCTACAGAAATGCAATTATGAACTGCATTACGAAGAAAGTAAAAGCATGTTTGTGGCGGACATATTGTCACGAGTCACACTGCCCGACACAGGATAGGAAAAAAATTGGAATCTGTGAACGTTACATTGGCGGTGACGCAGTTCCAGATGTCTCACATACGAACTGCAACTGCTGACAATCCGAGCATGCAAGAACTCAAAGGAGTTATCACTCGCGATTGACCATAAAACAAAAGAAAGCTCTTCCGATGGATGTATTGCCCTACTTCAAATTCCGAGATGAACTAACCGTTTACGATGAACTGATTTTTCGTGGTAAAAGGTTAGTCGTGCCAAAAGTGATTCAACGAAACGTAATGCGTTTGATGCATTGCTCTCACCGCGTTATTAACGGATGCCTCAGTCGTGCCAGGGAGATATTATTGGCCCGGTAAGTCAGAACAGATGAAACAGTTGATTGCTAAATATGATATTTGCAGGCAGTTTGATCAACTACAAACGAAGAAACCGATGAGTTCCAGATAGACCATGACAGATGGTAGCGCTAAATATTTTCTATCACGGGAAAGACAACTACTTGATGGCTGCTGATTACTGCAGTGATCTTTTCGAAGTTAATTTACTGCGATCCAGCAAATCGGCGGAGATCCTTGATAAACTGCGCGTGCATTTCGCACGACACGGAATACCACTTCAGGTACCTTCCAATGGTGGTCCACAATTTCGCAGTAGAGAATTCCAGAAATTCACTGAAAGATGGCACTATGAGCACCACTATCCCCTATCACAGTCAGTCCAGAAAGCGCGGTCAAACAGGCAAAGAAGCTTATCAAGAAATGCGGCGCAAATGAAACATGCCATCGGCTAACATGGGAACCAGCCCGAGCCAACGTTTATCTGGCGGACGTACACGCACGGTTCTACCCATTTGCAACCAGTCACTACAGCCACAGGGTACGCCATCAATAGTCATGCAGTCAAAACTAAATAAAAACATGGTGCTGAACAAGAGGTATTACGACTGTGGCAACAAACCTCTGTGCTCACTCAGATTAGGAGACACGGTTTGGGTACAACCACTGGAACCAACGGAGATTTTGTGGGTGAAGGGTCATGTGATATCACGAGCAACAAAAACATCGTACCCAGTAAGCTGTGGTCAACGGGTAATACGGAGAAGTAGAGCGCAGTTGAGGAAAACAGAAGAGAATGAGGACGAATACGATGAAAGACAATATTCAAATACTGCATAGGAGGATGTTGAAATCAGTGCACAAGAACAGCAGCAAGGAATACTAACAACCGGTATGACAGCACAATCCCCATCCCGAACACGAAGCGAGCGGATATACCAATCAGGACCACAATGAAAAGCTTTCAAAAGAAGAAGGATGCGTTGCAAAATGCTATTTGTATCGATCGTTTATTTTACTGCATCAATTGTATTATTATGATTGGTTCGCCATAAGACAACTTTTGCAAACCGGACAATCTGATTGGTTTAAGCTTATATATAAACGTCTTTGATTCCCTTCCCGAATGAGATTCACGTTGGGTGCACTTAAAATCTATACTGAGAGCACTTCCTGAAGAACCAATTTTTGATAGAATATAGGAACAGATCGGGCTAATCGGGGTCAGAATTAAGCTTTGTCCGTCCGTGTCAGCATCTGACCTTCCCTCTAAACAACCCACAACCCCGACAAAAGAACGTCTACCCCTGTACGATAACCCTAATCTGGTCTACCGATTTCAGTGGGGGGAGAATATCGATCTGAGTGGGCAGAATAGAGCGACAATCACGTGACCGGATCGTTGAACATCTTTCAAACTGGGTCGTCTAAAGGCAGATGATGCAGTCCGGAGTCAAGCACGCGGCATAGAAACAATGATCGAAACCAGAAGATTCCGTCATCAGCCATAGCTGGACATCTTCTGATTATTTGCGTTTAACTCACAGTTACTTGTGAGCGGTAGTTTGAGATAATTGGTATTTATTGATTTGAACTGACTATCCTTCGGACTTCACCTTCATGCAAGATCCTCAGTTCATAGGTTCAACCATACATTCGAAAGCACTAGACTTGAGTCTCGTTCCTATTGGAGCTCATCGATAGTGCATATACCACCGTCTTCCCGTCCGGGATTTAAACTCCGGATCCATCGCATGGAAGGTGTGTGCGTTATCACTGTGCCATTTAGCGCATACCATGGGGCTCAACCGAATTGCCCATTCATGTTTGTTCAGATGTTGTCTTCAGTGAAAGTCAGTCAGTTCATTTGGCCCGACAGCTACGAAAGGAGACCCAAATGATAATGTGTTAACTTCAATCGAAAGCCTCTTATTAAGTCAGGATTTGATTACGCAACACCAGATCGACCGAACATGGCGTTTCAGATCATCTAAAAGTTACAAATCGAAAAGCTTCTGAGGTTTGCAGAAGCGATTACTATGAACCAATGTAAGCCTCCTTGTGTCAAGAAGAAGAACTTAATGTTATTTTGTCCTCACCCTTGTCACATGGTCCCTTTACCCTCCGGCTCTTTGTATGTCTGTTTGTCTGTTTTAATGTATTTTACTTTCCTGTGTTGTCATTCTAAAGCCCCGTACAAAAAATGATTTTTTCGCAGTATGTAACAAGTTTAGATACCTCGGAAATCGTCCTGGACATAAGTCGTACAGTACGTGCAATATGGTCTCCTGTTATCCGCATAACTTAGGCGACAAACAGATTATTTTCACCATTACTATGTTCATATCCTCAATACGAATTTGCATTCTATCCTTCACTTTTACTTGTTTATAGACGTCAATCGATGATTTGCGAGAACACGATTTGTCCCCGCTTGGATTTGCAATTCACAAATGATCGACCTAGCCCCCTGATTGAACAGTCTACCTGTGATGAGAGTACACGTAACGAGGCCTCCTCGTCCATCCAGTGTCGACGTCAATCGGAACCTGCCAGACCGGCCACTTTTGATGCTGAGCTCGACGAG